GCAGGGGTGCCCAACCCTGCTCCTGGCGATCGACTGTCCTGCAAAGTTTAGCTCCAACCCTAATCAAACACACCTGAAGCAACTAATTAGGGTCTTTAGGATCACTTAAAAATTAAAGGCAGGTGTCTTTGATTAGAGTTGGAGCTAAACTTTGCAGGACAGTCGATCGCCAGGAGCAGGGTTGGGCACCCCTGCAGTAGCAGATTGCCAGATACTGTCAGAAACACTCACTCTGAATGTCAGGTCATGGGCGAGGGGAGAGGTATTGAAGTACTCAAAGATGGAGTCCTGGAAGTCTGTCAGTTTCAGGCCTACAGTTGAGTGAAAAAAGTTGTCAGGAACAATATGGAATTATAGAAGAACCTATTAATTTAACAATTGGCAGCATTTATATAAGGTTCTCTTCAGATGTTCCTTAAAAAGATGAGATAATATGCAATCTCATGGTTAATGGACACAGTAAGTCTATCATATAAAGTAAGTTTCGCGTATAAAGGGCAAAGTCATAACATGTATCATCATTTTCACCTTTGTCTGATCGTGAGCGTCTCTCCTCCATCTCCTTCATATTCTCGAGCTGTTCCTCCAACTCTTTGTTCTTGGCCTCTGTATCCTTCAGTTTGCTGTAGGCGAGAGAGTCCAAAAAGTTAAGACTACCAGAAAAAGCTGAATCATTTGAATTAATATCGTGTCCTTTTGTAATGTGCACATGGGACTGAGCTAGTCCGGTGCAACAGACACAGCGAGCACCAGGCTACCTGCTATTGTGCCCAAAAGTATTCACTCAGTTTATTTAAACAGAAGCAGAGTCTAAGAACAACAATCTAAATCAATCTAAAGGTTGCTTATTATAGCAGATTTAAAGACTTACCCCTCGAAAGAGATGTTGGCTGCTTTGACCTTGCGCATCTCGTCCTGAACCAGTTGCTTGGCACGGATTTCAGCTTCCAAGGCCGACTGCAGCTCCAGACGGGCAGACATGTCCAATTTTTGACTGCGTCGCACCTTCCACAAAGGATCCTGCCAAGGAAAGGAGATGCATGTGTTGAAAAGTAGCCAGGAGACTTTGCATACTGAATTACGATGCAGCAGGTCTTAAACCAACTTTTGCGATCAATCAGTTTGCTCCATTTTAATTTGAAGCAGTTATTCACTAAAGATAGATCATATTATGTTTGTTTAGGTACTTTTATAGTTGTCTATGGACCATAAAATCCTGCCTCTACAGTGTCAAGAAGCAGTGCAATGATGTACTTATTCAATGTTTTGTGATAATTATAAAAACAAGATGCTATTCAAAAGCACAGAGAAAGCATCATGCATGGAAAAAATGCACGCCCGACAGACTACGTCACAGAACATAGATACCGTAAATCCTCTCTAGCACACGAATGAAATCCCTTAAGATGCATTTCCCATAAATCCGATGGCTCGTGAGGGTTTATCTTAGATCTCCAGCAGTTTAAAAGCTACTGATCTCAGCTGCCACCAAGGCTCCACTATTTACACATGTGGCAACAAGACAACATTAGTCTCCATGGTGACGAGACAGTCATTTACCAAAAAGAGACGGTGCATGGCTGAAGGACAGCTGAATATTGTGGAATGAAAGAAGAGGATTACATCCACTTCATTTCATTAAACACATGAAGTGACTGCACTCCCACAGCTGATGGGAAGTGAGAGGAGGTGAAGGGCGTTCATGGGAGTGTTCCTGGCAGAACTCATCAGCTTTACATTTGAGCTGTGGGTATTTTCCAGTGCGGCTCTCAAACACCCTCACAATTAGACCTAATACTGCAGCACTCACTCTATTGTTCAAGCTTATCGAGTTAATGACTTCTCAAAGGAAAGTTAAGGGTATACACACTTGACCTCATAAGAACAATGGAAGCAAGCTTAACTGAAATGTTTTCCATGTTATATGAATTATGATCAGCAATGAGGAGAGCTGATGCAGCATTTTCATTCATCTGTCCTTTGAAATTGTAGCTGTAAAAAATCTGCTAACCCTAATAGTTTTGCAAACCATCCTTTAAGTAACCTGGACAGATGTATGACAGATTGATTGGCCAATAGCCAAGAAAACAATCTTGTGCTCCGCCTCCACACTGATTTGATGGATACATTCACCCGCTTGGTGACCCGAGGTGCCACCATTGACCTCTGGGTTAGCATGCTAACGCCAGGCCCTTGCTGATATAGTTATTAAAGTTTACACAAAAGTATATTAATATATATTTTAAAATCTCTATATAAAATGTTATAATAAATAATAAATGTTGATTTTGATGTATAATATTCACAAATATTTAAATGTACACACCACCAAAGTTTGAGGACAGTAATTTTTGTTTTTGAAAGTCTCTCAGGCTCAGCACAGCTGCATTTGTTCGATCATAAATACAGTAAATACTGTAAATAATATTGTACAGCAATATTATCGAGTATTATTACCATTCTACATTTTCTTTTCTATTTTAATATATTTTAACATGTAATTTACTCCTGTGATGTGAATTTTCAGCATCATTACTCCAGTCTTTAGTGTCACATGATCTTTCAGCAATCATTTTAATATGCTGATTTGCAGCTCATGAAACATTTCTTCTTATTATCAATGTTGAAAACAGTTGTGGTGCTTTAATATTTTTGTGTACATTTTCTGATGAATTGACAGTTCAAAAGAACAGCATTTGTTTGAAATAGAAATCTTTTTTTTTATATTATAAATGTCTTTACTAGCATTTTGATCGATTTAATGTATCCTTGCTGAATAATAATTTTTTTATTTTTTTTCAAAATAAAATCTTACTGACCCCGAACTTTTCAACAGTTGTGTATTTTAAAACTGAACTGCCTATTAATTTGATTCCTTAAGACACATCTGAGGGAGCAGGAAGTAATGTTAAGTCACATTCCAACAAGAAATGTCTGAATTTTGTTTACAGAAATTATCTTGAAAATCGACAAAACCACAACATGCCATTTTAATCAATTCAATCTGCGATTTTCTTAACTCTGTGACCCAAACACAGGACGTTTATGGCATACTTCACCATTAGTCAGAGTCTATTGACTTCTATTTGTACCATATCCTGTAGCAACCCTGCAATTAAGCCAATTAGTTCAATTTGAGAATAAACGACTTTGACCACATCTTTTGAACGGTGGCTTCAACCCAAACTTTCGGGCCTGTAAATCAATAGTTCTCAATAGCAGATCCCACTATGGCAATAACAAACAGCACTTTCAAGAGGGAAAGTCACTAATGCCAATCTCCTACAGTCTGTCTTCAACCTCCTTAGAAAAGGATATTAAATCAAATGTGACCTCCTACACACCTACAACATTAACATGTCACTTCCCTTTAATCAATTTCCATTAGATTTGCTATTTAAAGCAAATCTAATGTTACTGTGCTACGCCTCAAAGGAGTTCGAGAGAGAGCTTTCCACTGACAAAATTAGAAGTCTCACTCTATCATAACAGATGCCCTATAAATCCCTATAAACTAAAACTGGAGCATAACAGCAGATCAGCTGTTTAACTGAGTTCAGTGGTGAAAGCTTGATCATTCCTCTCTATTAATTTTGAATCAAAGTTAGTGATGTTTACCAGCGTTCTGGATCCCAGACTAGAGCTACGCAGAGACTCCAATTCTTCCGTCATCTTGGAGGCCAGAGCCTGAAGGTAGCCACGTGCATCTTTCTCATCGCTCACCCTACAAAACATACACAGTCATAAATTTGTCTATTTGACCACAATGTCACCAAACCAAGACATATATTTTATTGCAACTCAAGATATAATTCACTCAAAAATCCTTTTGTGTTCCACTGAAGAAACACAAGAACTTTTATTTTTGGTGAATTCTCCCTTTAAAGTATTTTTGTTGGCCACAAAGGAGGCACATACAAGTGAATGTGAGGGAGGGCTTTCTCACCATTGGATAATCTCAGCGATCTGTGCTTCCCAATGTGCTACACTCTCTTTCTTCGAACCCAGATCCTGGAGCTCGTCCTCCAGCTGCCTGTTCTGAGCCGTCAGCTTGTCCACAAAGTTGCAGAGCTGCAGGGGAGGAGATTTCAGGATCAGTGTCAAGGACTGAATTACTCCAAGAAGTGATACTCAGTGTGGCCTCTTGCAATATGAAATATGGTGTCCTACCCTGTCTGTTTCTGCAGTGAGTTTACGGTTTTCCTCACTCAGAAGGTGGCGTTCACGTTCATACTTCTCCTTCAGAGCACCCATGGCCTCATCCATCTCGGTTTGTCTGTGGGTATAGAAATAGGTCTGGAATTAGTGATCGATATGCGTTTTTTTTGTATTAATTTTTTTAATGGCTAAAGACAGCTCTGACAATAATATTTTTGAATATTATTACAATATAGTTTTACAGTTTTTTTTTTTTTGCTCAAATAAATGCTGCCTTGGTAAGCATAAGAGACTTCTTTCAAAAAATTTATTCATTATTTATTCTCAAAAAAATCACATTTTTTAAAAGTAGTGTACAGGTGCATCTCAATAAATTAGAATGTCATGGAAGAACCAAAGACTTAAACTACTTCAGTCTGTGTGCATTGAATTTATTTAATACACGAGTTTCACAATTTGAGTTGAATTACTGAAATAAATGAACTTTTCCATGACATTCTAATTTATTGAGATGCACCTGTACATACATACATACATAAATATACATACTAATTATTTTCTTCGATTTAAGCCAATGCTAACAACCTCATTGGGGTTCAATTTCAGCCAAATAATCAACCTGGCCAATATATTTGTCTATCACTAGCTGGAATCAAATCTTTTGGTGTCAACCCACAACCTGGACAGGTGTAAGTACAGTACCGCTCTCTCTTGGCCTTTTCCAGTTTGTCTTTGAGCACCAGTAGCTCTTTGTGCAGTGACAGCTGTTGACCCTCAGAGTCGTGGAGCTCCTTCCTCATGTTCTTCAGGTCTGTAGTGTGGCTGGCATCACGTCTCACCAGCTCCTCCTCATAGAAGAGCACCTTCTTATCCAGCTCTGACTTCAACTTGGTGAGCTCCTGCTGAGTCTCTGAACTGGGACCCGAGGCACGACCCGTTCCCTGCTTGACCTGAGAAAGAAACAATCTGAGTGAGAGATATCCTGAGACAGCAGAGAATTTAGATATATTCGAGTTATTAACAGTTTAATTTAATACAATTAATTACTTTTAAGCTATTTTAATCGATATACAGCCCTACAATCATATACAAACACACATTATGGAGAGCACAGAAAGAGGAGTGAGCAAAGAGGCAAAGGAGAGTCTTCTTGACTTGCATGCAGAAGGAAAAAACATAAAACAAAGGAGAAACATCCTGCTAAAAATAACCCCATAGGATATCCTACACATGGAAGGAGGAAAAAGAAAGACGGGAGGGAAAGCAAGGTGACGTATGAGGTTAACCGTGTGGAAGGCAGTAGAGAGCTAGAAGAAACCCCTGAGGAAGGTAAAGAATAGCTGAATGGAAGAGGAAAATGGAGAATCTCAAAGAAGCTCTCAAGAACATGCTATATTTTATCCAAAATCTTATTCTGCTTGAAATTAGGCATCTGTATCATACCTGTACAGTATGGGTTATTTGAGTGATATTAGAGATTTTTTAAAAATAAGTATCAGTCAATATCATATTTATTTCCTTTATTTTAAAATTTAGTTAACTTTTATTGTCATCTAAAGGCACACCAAGAACGATAACTGTAACGGTAACTATATTAGCATCCACACCAGCAGACGATATCGTCTGTTTATTCCAAGCGCACGCTCGTCTGCCGCTTTAAATTCTCGAGCTCGTTATAGCAGGATTGATTCTGATTGGCTGTCAATGTTTTTATCGTTCATCCGCTGGAAAAAATCGTTCTGAAAGTGATTCCAACTATATCGTTTCTCTGTGCCTTTATCGTTATATCTGTGGTGTGGACTCTGCCATTCTTTAATATTGAGAACGATTTTTAGAACTAGATCTTTATCGTTATCTTTATAGTTATCGTTCTTGGTGTGAACAGGCCTTAATGCTCACTTAAAATTAATATTTAAAAACAATAATACTTTAATACCACTAGTAAATGTAACCTTTAGCAAATGTAAAAATTATATCAATTTTTTAATACTGTAAATTATAATGATGTTATGCCTAAACTCACTTGTAGCATTTAATGTGACTGATTTGAGTTTTTTTGTGTTTATATTTTTCTAGACAAAATATTATATGTAATAACTATTTTAGTATTTAATAATCATTATTACAATAAATAAATAATTTATTTTACTTATACAATTTGTACTGTTCATTTTTTGTTGCGATTTAGTGGTGAAATATGACCCAGACATGAAATCGTGAGATTCACCTATGAAAGATTCACAAGTGGGCTGAAGTCAGTAGAGAGGCAGTGTATGAATGAGTGACCTCTGACCTTGAGCGTCTCCAGCTCACTCTCCAGTTGTTTAGAGTAGACTTCACTGTGCTCTCTGAGCTTGCGCTCCTTAGAGGCTTCAGCACGCGCATCCTGCAGCTGAGACTCCAGCTATTACACACACACACACACACAAGAAAAACCATCAATATGGGGAAAAAAAATAGGATTTGTATAGACATTCTCATAAACCCTTCAAACTTGACCTAATTTAAACTGCACACACCCCCTTGAGATGCTATGTCTTTGAGCACTAAAAAGATCCTGACATCAAGAACAACAATTTCGTTCGCTCCAAGACACTTCCGCCTTGTGCATGGGAGAAAAAGAAAAGACACATAAAAGAGAAGAGCGTATAAATGGGGGAGGTTCTCAATCCAGCTGCAGTCAGCACTGCGGTCAGTGTCGCCCATCTGGCTCGAGTTAGTCACTGAGGTCCAGAGGAGGTCATGGGGTCCGTGAGGCTGGTCTGCAGGGATGGGAGGGGGCGGGAACGGGTGTG